CAACCCGTGAGTAGAGAAATACTCTCGGAGAGCAGTTCTTTTTCTTTTTTGGGTGAGAAGAACAACGCAGAATATATTATATATAGTTCCGGCCCATTTAGAGGAAAGCCTAACCGGAATCAAATGTCGGGGCCAGTTTACAGAGTCTTGGTTCGACCCCTAAAAAGTCGCACCCTCAAAAGGTGGTGGGCCCAATCTTTTTCAAAAGGCGTGCCATTCAAAAGGCGTGCCCAATCCATAAAAAGGCGTGCCCATCAAAAGGCGAGCCCAAGTCAATAAAAAGATGTGCCCGGACTAAATGGCGAGGCGCGTCACCACATTGGCTTGCCGCGCCCGTTTTGTCGTCTGGCGTCAAAGTGGCGCGCGATGCGCGTGACTGCCTGGCTATTTAAAAACCAAGACGAATGTTGAGGCTGAGCAGAAGGCTAAGACAAAAAAACTGCTATAAAAACCTCTGAGAACTCTTCGTTTGTCTTGAGAGAGATACTTTGTAACACTTGTAACCAACACTTCTCTGAAACACTCAGAACCCACATACACATGGCCTCGTCTTCCCGTTCAGCTACCAAAATATGGCCTCTTCCCGTCCCGTGGTCCTGGCTCACTCTCTTTCCCGACCTCACGAGTCACAAGAGAGATAACTGGTGGCGGTGGCCCCAAGTGAAACCTCAATCCAAAGCGGCCCTGTTTTTGCGCGTTGAACTTCCTATGCGGTCGGTGGAGCAAAAAAATGGCAGTGCAACAGATATTGAGGCCATAGTAATACTTTGAAGTCATGTGTTGGAGACCAATGACGGTCGGTCAACAAACTTGTCGCACCGGCCTTCAGAGTAGGACAAATGAGGTGGAACAGTTAAACGCCCAAACTGGCTCTGCTCCAACGCATGTATAAGGATGCGCGAGCAGAGATAAGCTGTGCTAAAAGGCGGAAAATAAGAGCTGAAGCGGAAGGCCACCGTTATGTTCCGATTTGGAGGGTCCGCCATTATGCTGCAGTGGAGGAGCAGGGATAGTGATCGTGCCCAGTGGAGTGGGAAAACACGGAGGCAGCACCGGCAAGGGCCGTCCAGCGACGGGGGCCAAAGAAGAAGAGACCAGCGGCAGAAGTAGAGGAAGTGAGGTCGGTGGGTGGCCGTCTGCAGAAAAGAAAACAAATCGTTTTGTTTTTTGTTTTTGTTTTGTTTTTTTTTTTTTTTTTTGTTGTGACTAAAAGATTAGTCGCTAAATGTGTGATTTTAAAAAGTGTAAATCACTATTGGCGACTAAATCGTTGGTCGCTAAAGAGCTATTTTTTGCCGACTAAAAAAATTTTAGTCGTCAATACCTCCGGCGACCATATATACGCGACAAAACGGGCGACTAAAAAAATTAGTCGCTGATAGTAAAAACTCGACTTTTAGTGACTAAAAACAGGCTTTTGGCGACTAAAAATTTAGTCGCCAAATGTGCTTCTTCATGTAGTGGATATTAATCCAAATAGCTAGTAGAAGTCTTAGATAAGTGATATCCTTATAAAGGATAGAGTTCTACCTTTTATCAAATGTTCATTAAAACCTTTCTAACAATTTTTTTTTTTTTTTTCAAATCCCAAATTTCCCTTTTCATCAAATTTGATGAAAAAGGTAATCTTCAATACTTTAATGAATTAAAATTTAATGAATTCAAAAAAATTATGTTCATCAAATTTTATGTTTTCAAGTTCAAACCACATATCACGCAAATGAATTCTCATTTTGATATCAATATATGTCGACAAAATACAAACTACATACACACACATATATATATATATATACATATATATGTATATCTATGTATCGACTGATACATACATACACATACATATATCTATCACCAGAGAGAGAGAGAGAGAGAGAGAGAGAGAGAGAGAGAGACAACGTACGAAGATATCGCCTGTACACACAGATTCAAATCGCACAACCAGATCCACCTCACAGCACAATGAGATCGACCACACAGCACAATGAGATCGCCACAACGAAGAGAAATCGAGATCGCGGAGACGAAGATTTGATTTCCTTTTTTTCAACGAAGCAAAAATTTGATTTCTCACGTACATATAGATCTCAAAACAAAGGGTAACACAGTCATTTAAAAATACGAAAATAAAAAACGGGACCTCTGGGTATAAAACTAAAAAAACTGTGGACCTATTGAACTATTAAAAATAAATTGGGATTAGAAGGGAAATAGATCCTCTACATAGGACTACATGGTAATTTTTCCAAAGTCAAAAAGCTCTTCCCAAACCAGGCTAAAATAGCCCAGGCTAAAATAGCCAAAAAGCCAAAAAGCCAAAAAGCCAACCCACTTCCCAAACGGAGGCTAATTTTTTT